TTAATTACAATAATATGGGCCTATGCCCCATGGAAATATAAACATGTTGAGGGAGATAAGTCATATGGAAATGGAATTGAGAACAGATCACAATTGGATTCCAAGACCAGTGAATAACATTGCTAGTTCTTCAGTAAGACAAGGAATGACTAGGAATCATCTATTTTGGGGGGAAGTGAACTCAATTGGGTCTGTGTAATATATATTGAACGATGAAAGAGGGGAAGGGTAACAGGTGTGCCAAATCTGAGGTGCTTGACAATTCTTGAATATGATTCTTTACAAGCATTAATAACATTTACAGAAGGCACATCAATGCTTAAGATGCCAGCTTAAATGCAATGGGTCTTCCTCTTCTCCTTAGAAGGTGGTGATGGCATTGCTTCCTTTGTCTCTCAGCCGCACTTGTTTCTTCATCGATTCTGGAGATAGAGTCAAATTCTGGGAAGACAATTGGTGGGATAATAGACCTTTAAAAAGATTGCTATCTTAGCCTCTTTTCTATCTCCTTGTCCAAAAATAGACATATCTCTCACTTTCCAAATTCCTCTAGGGCTAGGCCTTCTTGGGACTTTGAGTTTAGGAGAAGGCTTAGAGACCATGAAAGACTCACAGTTGTGGACCTTATCAGTTCTTTGGACTCTGTTTTATCTTGACCCATCCAAACTTGATTGTAGAATCCGGACAGCCACCCCCTTCGAGTTTGTTCATCTTTGCCTCCTTTTTCAAAATCCTTGCCCCCTCCAGACCCTCATCTCAGACCTTTCCAATGAAGTTTGTAATAAATATGTTCCACCTAAGATTAGGGTCTCTGTCAGAAGGTGCACCCCAAAAAATTAACACTTGTGAGGTGTTGCATAAAAGAAGACTCCTTTGGTGTTTTTCTCCTTATTTTTGTTCCTCGTGGTTTGCAAGTGAGGAATCTAAATATCATCTATTAATCTCTTGCCAATTTGTGTTTAGTATTTGGGGTTGATCTTTGACCTATTTGGGTCTAGGCGGAGAGGGCCTAATGCCATTGAGTCTCTCATCAAAGGTTCTTTCTTCCTTATCCACCAAGAGAGCAAGGGTCATGTGGAGATGTTTAAGGTCTGCAACCTTCTTGGTAATATTGGAGGAAAGATCAATGGAATATTCAACGAGTGGAAAGAACTCAAGAAGTGATCAAGGAATGCATTTGAATGACAATTGTACATCGGATAAAAACTTTAAAGCTCTTTCAAGCTTTTTGTATTGAAGACCTGCTTAGGAGTGTGGTAGCGACTATTCCTACTCAGAGGAGTATGGTCTTTTCACATTGGGTCTGACCAATAGTAGTTGTCAAGCTAAGATTTGATGGATGCAGCTTGGGTAACCATGGAGAAACGACAGTAGGAGCTTTTAGAGGTCTCATTGGGACACTTCGGCTATATTTTCAGGTCGTATTGGGGAAGGAAACTCCATCACAGCTGAGTTGTCAGCAGCATTGAAAGGCTTAAGATTGGCAAGGACGTTAGATTTAAGGAAACTTGTTGTGGAAGGGGACTTAGAGTGGCAGTGAAAGTGATGGTGAAATGGCTGCAACACCAAAAAAAAACAAAAAACAAAAAACGGGGTCCATGGCAATATTGGAACTACTTGAGGGAGCTTAAAGCCTTAGCATCATAAATGAATTCAAGTTTTATGTGGATCTTTGGATTAGCAAATGCACTGGAGACAAGGGGTGAACAGGGTACAGATGTTTTGAGGTTATGCTGTAAGGAACCAAGGGGCTGTTTGATAACAGCTGAAGCAGCTGAACTGAAAAGCTTGGTGCTTTGTCTTTTAGTGAATAAGTTTTTAAGGAGGTTGTGGGCTCCTTAATGGCTGAAGATGAAGTTGGGTAGAGTATTATACCCTTAAATATTTTGTTATTTAATTATTTTATCTACTAAAAGACAAAGCAATAAGTTGTTCAGTTCAGAACCTCAGCCATTATCAAATGGCCCCTAAATGTAAGAAGAGGGGCAGGTGCTAACCTCACTAGAAGAATGTACGGTACTTTATTTCTCTTAGGATTTTTGGCATATTGTACATATTTATTCTTCTATTCAATTAATAAAATTCTCATAGCTACCAATAAAAAAGAAAGTGGTAGAGTCCACTATGTATGAATTAATACTTTAGATATCTTTTCACTTTAATTCGTTGCTTCAACTCAATGTCCCCATCCCCAGCCATCAAACATTTAATTAGTGTTGATTTGTAGTGTTCAAGAACATACTTTATTTCTCTTTCTCTTGCTTTCTTTCTATGTAGTACATGAAGGTGAAAATTCTAGTAGGGCGTACATGGTAGGTAAAGAAGTGGAATTAAAGGTCTGAATAGTGAAAGGAAGGGGATTCAGATCTGGATAGAAAAGAGAGAGAGAAGAAAGAGAAGAAACATTTTGCCTTTAGAGATAAAAAGAAAAGAGAGAAATAAGATCAACACTCTCACCCATAGGAACACACTTTTTACTTTTTTTGATCAAACACACTTTTTACTTCATTAATTCACATTTAAAATTTCAATTAAAATGACTCTATTTATAGACTCAACATAAAGTCTCAGATCACTCTTCACGTACTCCAATTCAGACTGAAAAACTGACCAACTACAACTCTTAACTGCTTTTTGAGTTAGAGTCATAAATTCATAAAATAATTCTAATTACAGTCTATGAATCCTACTAAAACCGAACAAAGTAAAACAACTCCAAGATAGACCCAAAAGTAGGACTGAATTCCATCACAAACTGACATCCTATCACTAGAATGGATGGCCATAACTTCCTTAAAACACATTTGATTTATAAAATCTTGGTCTCATTGGATAGATAACTTAATTTTGTATCCAATGACTCCAAAATTGTGCTACATGCACAAGTTTTGGCCCCTGAAAAGTAGGTTGAAAGAAAACGACATGATTTAGTCTTCAAGTTTTAAAAATCCTAATACATCTTTAATATGACTTTTTAAGCTACCATGAACCTTCAAGTGAATTAATATATTACTAAGAGTAAGACACCAATAAACTAGAAAAGTAGATCTGAATTCTGAATTTTTTGGAAAAGGTAAAGTATAATTTCATTAAAGACAAAACAGGTCCTCTATACAATGAGATGCTGTACAAGTATAAACCATTAGGGACTCCCAAATAAATCCACTCTCTAAAAAGAATAGTCTGTCATTTTTAAATATATTGTGTATAGAAAACCAGCGAGATCACATCCTTGCCCACAGGCGCCCCATGTGCATATCTCAGCGTGCATTGGGAACATCTCCCGTACTTGTCATTGGGAGATGTTCCTAATACACAGTTGGGATGTGCTGTGGGATGCTGATGTGAACTAAAACCAGCTTATAAGATCCTCTACTGCCCTATTTATTACCCCTGCTTCCAGTGATGCTTTTTGTTAAAAAATTCTCGTATTTCTTTCATACCAAATGGCCTACATAACCACCATAGGATTTACTGACCATCAGACTTTCCCTTTTCTGGATATGTCCCATTCTTGTAATAAATCCTTAACTGAAGAAGGGAAGAACCAGTGCAGATTTAGTACCCTTCTGAAGTGAAGCCAAAGAACTGTGCTAAAACTGCAATGCAAGAACAAGTGGCCAACTGACCCTTCCTCTCTATTGCAAACCACACTGAAACCCTTTCTCAGCGGCATTTCCTTAATTAAGCAGTTCTCCAGGGTTACAACCCAAGTGAAATTTTCACTTGAAGGTGCAACAGTTCCTCAAATGGCCAAGCTAGGAATCACTCTTGGATCTCCTACTAGACCTTTGTAAAAGGATTTAACTGAAAAATCCCCCGATGGTGTCCACTTTCAACATCTTGAGTCTTGAGAGTGCAGGTTTGGTTGTAGAAAATTTTATAATTTTGACATTTATCAAAAAAAAATTATAATTTTGACATTTCAAAACTTTGATTAATTTTAAGAGTCTTATAAAATATTGCTGATAAAAAGGCTTATAAAATGTTTCTAGGCTATCTGATTAGATTTTCATTTTCAACAATAATGTAATTGAAATTCAAACCATTGCATGTCTTGTTAGAGTTAGATAATTTACCTCTCTCTTGTTTGTTGTTGTTCTATATGATAATGTTTTATACCTGTTTTTGTAGTGAGTTATGTGAGGCATTTACTAGGTCTCAAATAGAAGTAAAACAGAACAGCAAGAGTCTTCTATTTAATTAAGAATATAGGCAGAAAATGAGAGGAGAAGATTCAGAAAACAAAAAGAAAGAGAGATGGGAGAGAAATAGGGTTTGGGAGAAGAAGAGAACGTAACAGTTTCCAAGCCCCTAATTGTGCTTTATTAGTTCTAATCATAATTGAATGTAAAAATCACAAGAAGGCCCTTAGTAGGGCGGCTGCTAGAATAGAATAAACAAATAAAAAGGCTTAAGCCCATAATAACTCAGGCTCATTAGCATAAAATAAAAAAAAGAACACTAAAAGGTTACATATGACCCAATAGCTCAACACGAATTTACCTAAGATTGTATTGGGATATTGCTAATTAATTATAAACTATTTATTTTTTTTACTCTTGTATTACCAACTCTTTTTCTCCAATTTAAATACCTAAAAGTTCCTTCTGAGAAATTTTTTTTATTCCACAACCAAATCCAAAGTATATGCTTTCTTCTTATGATGTTTTCTGTTCATCATCTGATAATCTTGAAGCTGTTGGGTTTTATGAGTACAGTGAAAAGGAAGACAATTTTTTTCTAAGAATTTCTTTTTTATTGTTACTTACATTGTTCTTGTAGTTAGGATAAGACTTTGTTGAATTGAATTGATCTTGCATATTCTTGTAAAGTTTTAAATGCTTGATATTTAATAGTAGAAGATTTGCACCCCCTGATTTTAAGTTGGAAGGAAAGGAGCTGGTGCTGCTTATGCAGAAAAAATGGTGTCATGATCTAATCTTGTTCACAAAATTAGGTATAGTGCAACAATTTCTCATATTTTCATTTTGGTGCAGGTTCTTCATTACCAGCTCTGTTCTTGATCTTACAATAGTGGGTTTAGATGCCATCGATGGAGATTCAAGTTCCCAGGGGCAACAGCTTCACTACTTGAAGACTTGCTCTAATCCAAGTCTTGATCTGGGCAGTGTAGTTTACCTTTTAGGCTACACAGGGAAAAGGGAATTGACAGTGGGAGAGGGGAAAGTGGTGATAGCCACTGATAATCTCATAAAACTGTCAACAGATGGAGTAACTTGGAGCCCTGGATCTGCTGGTTTTGATGTACAAGGCAATCTTGCATTCATGGTCTGTGACCCCATGAAACTTGCTACATCTCCAACAACCAAATCTTCATCAACCTCATCATCTTCATCATCATCGTGGAAAAAGGACCTCCCTATGCAATTTGGAATCCCTATTCCCATCATTTGTGATTGGTTAAATCAACACTGGGAAGCCAGCTCAGATGAGCTTAGCAAGCCTAAATTACCAATTATCAGATTGATCTCTACTGGACAGAAGAGTGAGCATTCATGCACTTCTTTCACACTGCGACGGGTCTTCAAGTCAACAGAGGGTGAAAATGAAGAGAGAACATCATCATCACATATCATTTCAGGACCTGGGAATCATCCTGGACCAAGCTGTTCTGCTGCAAATATATGCCAAGAAGAAACTCCAGTTGCTGATCTACAATGTTCTGTTGTTCATGAGCAGGGCATTCAAACTCCTGAAATTTATGAATCCCCAAGGTTGACTTCAGTACCTATCCAGAAGAAGGAAACTCAAATTCAGCTTCTGGACATTAACTTCCCTCCAAGGGTTCCTAAACCTATTGCCCTGCCTTCTTCCAGCAAACAATTGACCCCAAACACAGATGAAAATTGTGTTGGGGAACTTGCTTTGCAGAATCCAAGAAAAGAAGACAAGGACGGAGGACCATCCAGTCCTGGTGGAAATGCTGAAATTGCATCAACTGGTTCTGTTAATGGTGACCATAGTGAGGTCCAATCCAGTTCATCTCCTGTTGAAGTTTCAGAGTTGCAAAATGATAGGCATGGATTCCATCCAGACTATAGCAGTGAAGGTGAGACAATGTACTCTGCTGAAACTGCAGAGAGCAGAAACTACCCTAGCCCTCCTAGGGGCGAAAAGTTTCAGCAGGTTGGAAGGAGCCAAAGTTGTGTGAGCTACAACAGATGGGGAGCTACTCAAAGGAATCCTGTCACACACAGGGCATCACTAGAAAAGCATAGAAGCTTTGTACAAGGAAAGAAAATGTATTCACAGGGGGCATCATCTCAAAGGAGCCATGATTACTTTAGCCCCACTGTTTCTTCAATTATGAAGAAAAAGAACAGCTCAGAGCAGATGACTCGACCCCGGCAAAATGCAGTTCATATGTCTCCAAGATGGATGTTTTGATTGATTCTTACAGGGCAGAGCAACTGCAAGGGAATCTTATTCATGTTGACCTGATCCCTGTTCACCTATACAGTAACTGATTTTTTGTGATTGTATGTGCAGAAGAGTCAGTGAATAAGCAACTTCAGTCAAGTTTTAGTAGATCTGCTCAGGGAAAGAGTTATTTTTTCATTTCCTCTGTGATAATCTTCTTGTTTGAGACAGTAGTGCTGCTTGTTTCGTTAGAAGCAAGCTCATTTTAACAGTGTTTTGGATACGTTCCATATGCATTTGGGCATACAGGACGTAACTTTGTATCCTTTATATAGTTTGGAAAGTGTGCAGAGAAATGTTAATATTCCTTAACTAACTTAACGTGATGTTACTGGTATTAAATTGAAGGGATACCACTATCATGTGATTGGTGTAGAAGGCCTTGTCTCAATTGTTAGGATTTGGCCTTGAGAAAACAAAAAGGTAGGTTCCTTATCTTCTGGGAGGAGGGGGGTGTTCTCCAATGTGAATTGTAAATTGTTTTTCATGTAGCCAGTTTGAAAATATACTGTTTCATAAAACAAAGACAGGGAACATGTTCTTGGTTATGTGTGTATGTGTGTTTTTTGTTTCCAAAATTGAAACAAAAAACGTGTTCTTGAATTTCTGGTTTAAAGAACATGTTTTTTGTGTAATATTATAGGAGCAAGACAACTGTACAAGCTTTTTTGTTTTCTTGATTTTCTTGATTTCTTGGTTTCACCACATGTTCTTGAAGTCAGTTAAATCACATGTGTCCTGTAAATAGAAACTACAAAATGCTYTTCTCAGAATTTATATGGTATTAGAGCACCTCATGTGTTCAAGATCCTCTGTTTCCTGCGTTCATCCTCTGGTTTTTCCTCTTCCGTTTCTTTTCTCATTTTCCATGGCGTTCAGTGCAAACTCCAGCAACTCTGTTGTCGATTTTTTCAATGATCCTGCATCACCTTATTTTCTTCATCCTTCTGACAGTCCAGGTGCTGTTCTTGTTTCATCTTCTCTGAACGGTGACAATTACTCCACCTAGAAAAGAGCAATGAAGAATGCTCTGTATGCCAAAAACAAATATGGTTTTGTTGATGGCTCGATAGTGAAACCTGATGAGTCTTCAGTCAATCTGACTGCCTGGATGAAATGTAACTCGATGGTAGTGTTGTGGATTTTCAATTCTTTGGCAAAAGAACTCCACGAAAGTGTTGCATACGTAGAGACTGTTGCAGAAATTTGGAAAGATTTAGAAGGTTCTCTCAAGGCAATGGACCAGGAATAAGAAAATCTTCCCATATCAGCTTATTTTTCCAAGATTAAAGCATTATGGGACAAATGAGCATCTATCAAATTGTTCCAACTTGTGCTTGTGGTGCAAAGGAATTCGTTACTGAACGGGAAGGAGAACGTATCTTTCAGTTCTTGCTTGGTTTGAATGAAAGTTTTGGTGCAGTTCGTTCATACATCCTCAGCATGGAGCCCATTCCTTCTGTCAGTCATGTATACGCCTTGATCTCACAAGAAGAGCGATACCAAAGTTTAATGCATCAGAAGTTGCCCACTCTTGAAGTTGTTGCAATGATGGCTAATAAGCCATTAACCAAGAATGGAAGTAGATCAAAGTTCAAATGTGAGCATTGCAAACTCAATGGTCACACCAAGGATCGTTGTTTTGAATTGAACGGGTATCCACCCAATTGGTTTGGAAAAAGACTTTCAAATAATAACAAATCAGCAACTGAAACCATTGGTGCAAAATTCGCTTCCTCAATTGCTGGATTAACACTTGAGCAACATCAGCAGTTATTGGACCTCCTTACACCACCAGCTTCGGCTAATATCACTGGTATGTGCTTCATGTTTCCATTTGAATTCACAATCCTGGATTTTAGATAATGGGGCTACGGACCACATGTATACGTTTGATTCCTTTTGGACTCATTTACCAGAAGAACAACTGTGTCAAGGCCAGTTTAGTTATCGAATGGTGACATTTTGCCAGTATCTTCACAAGGCATCATTTCACCAACCCCTTATTTGGAATTACATGATGTCTTGTGTCTGCCTAATTTTACTTGCAATCTCATATCCATTAGCAAGATTACCAAATAACTGAATTGCGTTGCTATTTTCTTTCCTTCGTTCAGTGTCCTTCAGGACCTTCAAACGAAGAGGGTGATCTGTTTGGGTGAACAAAGAGGAGGTCTATATTACTTTATTGCAATACATACCTCAACTGCTTTACATACAACAACTAAAAATTCTCAACTATGGAATTTATGCCTTGGTCATTTTTCATTTGACTGCATAATGGGGTAGTAGAGCGCAAACACAGTCATCTCTTGGAAATGGCCTGAGCCCTAAGATTTCAAGCAGGTCTTCCAGTGAAATTCTGGGGAGAATGTGTTCTAATAGCGGCGTACCTCATCAACCACTTGCCAACTCCAAAACTTCAAGATCTTTCTCCATATGAACGACTCTATGGTTAGCCACCTAGTTACTCTCATCTGAAAGTGTTTGGATGTCTAGCTTATGCCAAAGTTCCTGGMAAGGTTCATGACAAAATGGCCCCTCGCTCAGTTCGTTGTATATTCATTGGATATCCCCATGGGAAAAAGGGGTATCATCTTTACAACCTTGAGACAAAATCTATCTTTGTCTCTCGAGATGTACTATTCTATGAAGACCAGTTCCCCTCCAAGTCCCTGGTCCCTACAATACTTGATCATTCACCAATTATCCATTTACCAGTCTTGGACAATGAACACATTGCTACCACAAATCCAATTGAATCTTCTTCGCCCCAAGACTTTGTGGTCGAATCTGGCATAAGTCCTGATGATGCGCCATCTGGAGGCTCCTAGCTGGAGGATGACCTGGACCTTAGTCGTGTAGCGAGCTGGACCAAGCTGCAAGACAGAGGATTAGAGCACCCGGGCGGTTAACCCGGCGAGGTTGCTCCGATGCTTAAGTCAGTAATGTGTCGTGATTGCGAGCTAAAATCTGAGTGCTAGAGAACTTGGATGCAAGTAATCGCATGTACCTAGACAATGGAGGGGTTGATGCCTTTATATAGCTGAGTTATTGCAGGTTTCCCAGAACAGTTCCGAGATCTACGGCCTGAATGGACAAGATCCGTTTTCACTTTAGTCGGAGAGTAACATATCAATCAATGAACTTCATTATCGTCGCCCGATTCGGACGTRGAGAAGATAAGGCTTGCCGTTATGCGGTATGATCCCACAATATTCAAAGTTTGCTGGGAAGCTATTGGGATTTAATATGTGTCACTTTGGTTCCTGGGCCTCGAACTCGATTAGCCGCCGAGGTGGTGTTACGCCGAGGTGACCTTATGCTGAAGTGACTTTACGCCGAGCTCTGCATACCACTAATTAGGCTCCCCTTGCTGAGTTGTCATCCTACATGCAGATCGCGTCCACATGACTTTTATTTACTAGGTCGTGCCAAATTACTCTTCATCAATTGCCCCCACTCCTTGTGGTAGGGGTCCTAACCCGGCTCGGGGAGTTCACGACGAGCTTAGGTGGATTTGGCACAAAAACTAGGTGATGTGGAGGGGGAGTCGTTGGTCGGACTTGTTCGACCGTTCGGTTCAACCAGGAAGTGACCCAGATCGCGTACCTGGTATGTGCGAACGTCAAGCCGATTATTGACTCCGCGGACGTCAAAACATGCACTAAATCGATTTCAACCTCGGAGGGCGTGCAAACGATTTTTCTAAGAGTCGTCAGATCGTGTTGATCTTGACCGTTGATTCCCGGATATACTGGCTATAAATAGGGGCCAAAAGGCCCATTTTCTTCGCCATAAGTCCACAAGTCCACAATCTTTGAGGTTGCGCTCAAGTCTTTCAGTTCGGTATCAGCCTTTTCTGGGTTCGAGGTCGCCTCCTTTTCTTCGGTCTTCCTTTTGGTGAGTTCACCTTCCTTGGATTTTTCCTTTTGATTTCATTGTCCTTTCCTTTCATATGTCTAGCCTTAGCTTAGATAGTCTTCTAGACGGGAGCAGCGAATCCGCTGGGGCCAAGGTGGGTACCTCGGCTTAGACCGTGAACCCTCGTCCTACTGAAGTGGTCACTTCAGGATAGGACGTGGTTCTCAGTCCGCCCGAGGTGAACTCACCTCGGCGAGAGCGAGAAGCTTCTGGTAAATCGACTTCCACCTCACACCGATTTCGGCTGCCAGACAATTTCGGCCTGTCAATAATGACGGCGGACAAGCTCCTAGCCTTAGTAGCCTGGTACAGACTCCCTAACGACCTTGTGTATAGCATCCTCTTAGGCAACTTTCCTTGGGATCATGATCACAACGAGATCGTGGTCTTCGAGGAGCAGCTCGTAGTCGGTCTGCATCTTCCACTTCACCCTCTTATAATTGAGATCGTTAAATTCTTTAACATTACCAGAGACCAACTACACCTGAACTCTATCCGTAATATCGTAGGGACCATTTCTCTTTTCCATGATTACAACCGTCCCCTTGACCTCGACGTCTTCTCTTCGATCCTTTCCATTAAGAAAAACTCGTCCTGCATTCTGCCCAAATAAAGGTGAACTTACTACTTGTCTCCTCGTCCCGAGTACAAACTGTTGCACGAGCTCCCTAATAAGGTCCCGACCTAGAAGAGGCATTACTTCATGGTCCGCAACACAAAGGGGTGGCCCTTTCCGACTCACTGGAGGGCAGCCATCTAGGACCCCGACGTTAGACTAGACCTGYAGACAAGGGAGGAGGTCCGATATTGGGCGGAGCTCGGCCTGAAGTTCGAAAACTTCGTGACCGAGGAGAAGCTCGTGCAAGCCGGCCTAAGTCCTCCTAATAGGTCACTACTTGCTATACTTTTTCTATTTGTTTTACTTCGGTACTATATCTGACTTAGCTCATTTTTTATCGCAGCTGCCATGGACAATATCTCTGTCGATGAGCTCTTCGAGAGCATGAAGAAGGGGAAGAAGAAGAAGAGAGCCTCCAAAAAGGCTTGCGTCAAAACAGAAGCAGCCATAACTGAGGCTGTCGTTCCTGAGCCCGAGCACCCACCAGTTGCCGAGCAACCTCCTGTAATCGATCTGGTCGAGGAGGACTCAGGCAAGACCACCCCAACCTGGCATACCCGAGGAGGCTATGTCTTCAGAGCCCGTCCCAGCGACCGCCACTTCTTCGGGCAGCGATGCTCTAGTTCGGCCTTCTCAAGAGCAAGGACGCGGTGTTCACTGAGGAGATCACTCGTTGGGCTGACTTGCCAGTTGCTCAGATTGGGGCCCGATCAGCCATACACTGTATGGTAGTATATTCTTGAACTTATCTTTCAAATTGTCTTGTACTTAGATTTTTGGTATACTGATACTCATTTTCTTCTCTTGGCAGGTGAACTCCTCCATCCATGCCTTGGCTTATCAGTCCAAGGTGAACCTAAAGCGGGCTCTCGAAGCCAAGGAGTCTTCCCAAAATTCCCACGCCAAACTAAACTTAGCTCACAACAAAATCAACCAACTGAAGAACGCCGCACGAGCTAAGGAGTTGCTAACTCTGCTGATGTCAGAGAAGAAGGAGCTCGAAGA